CACCCTTTATATATTTGTATGCATCGTATATTTCCTAAAGAGGTCCTATTATTTGTTCATTTGCATAAAATATAATATATCTTGACACAATTGTAGATGAAAAGTAGCCATTAAGTTATTAAAATATTTATTATTAAAAGTAAAAGGATTTAACAATATATAATAATTTTGAAAAAAGAAGTTTGATCATTATCGAATTTATTAGCGAATATATGATGTAATATGTAATATATCAAAATATACGAATTTTAGAAAAAGTAATTATTAATGTTTCTTGTGTGTTACGTATTCTATATAATAAAAATTCATCACAACTCAAAAGAAACTAATTAACAATACACGTTCGAAATGCACATTGTCGTGTTACTCTTTTTATGGTAGCTGGTTCGTGACAGTGGCTTCATTTTTATAAGCCACAGTAAAGCCAACTTCTCTTTCTCTATTTCTCCCTCGGGACACATATTTTGTTTCCAACGCGTTGTTTGTTTGCTGGAATTTTTTCCGAGGCTGATCCGTTTCTGTTATTCTATGCACGATCACGTCTCACTTATTTACGGATTCGAAACTCGTTCGTGAACCAGAATGCGCTCCGTGTATTTGTGCCTTTGGTCCTGGCTCTTGGATCTAGGGAGACAAAGGGAATATTGGATTCCTGTCGCGCTACGTCGACCAAACGACTTGTCGTGGTAGCTAATGCACGAGACAAAATTTACAACGAGAATTTATCTCGCCTAGCTTGGAACGAATCAAAGCGTAGCCGAGTATATACAGGAAATTTATCTTTCATCCCATTCCAATATCCTTCTTTTATGCGCGCCTACAATTGGCCAGAGAAGGAGAGAGAATTTTAATAGAAACTTTTTTGTTCAAGAGAAGGATGTGACGACAGAGAGTATACGGTATATATATTAAATGACGCGATGGAGGATGCAGTCTACCAATTCCGATGTCGACATAATGCACCGGATAGAGAATAATCGTGATTCATCACAACACACTTGCTGTACTTATTTTATTAAAATCGGCATTACATCTTGTGATCTTCTCATTGTCAATGAAATGATACGATATGATATCATCGCATTGATATTTCTGCGTGTAGTATCATATAATTTCAACAGATTAAATAGATATATTCTTACGAAGGAAGAAGCTACACTTCCTTTTTTTCATAGAAGATAGATCCCATCGAAAGAACCCAGAATTTTAGCAATACTTTTGGGACGAGCTGTACATGACCTGTTCGACGCGCGCCAAAAAAAGAAGGCAAAAGCCGCTGGATACTCTAATAACAGGATACCAAGGCGGATACGAAAGGGTGACGAGCGGTACGCATTACAAAGTGTCACGGACGCGTCGCTGATGGAGTGTCACGACACGCGTCACTTCCACATTTCTACCTACCTACTTCCACGCGCGTTCAACATGAACGAAAACTGCTCGAGGTCAGAGCTGCGTCAACAACGGTCAACCGGAAGTGACGGGCGCTGCTCGCGCGCACGATCGAGAGCCGGCCTGCTGGATGCTACTTTCTACTTTCAAAGATCTTAAACCAGGAGCGATAAGAGTTAAACGCCATCGTCATACATGAGAAGATCAGGCTTTCCAGTGAAACACACGTGTGGCCTGCTGGATGAAAGAAAAAAAAGATGAGAAAAATATATACGTACGAGGAAATAACTTGATGATGTATTTTCAGGACTATAAGTCGACCGGGATATTGATAAGAGCAGAAGCAGAGAGAATCGCGGTTTTTCCCTCTCGCGATATAATTTAAAACGAACCACCGCGCGGAATTGTAGCTCATTGCAACGAGTTGTTTCAGAGTTTCATGACGAACAGCTGTCTATGATGGAACGAGTGGTGCCAGCCACGATATGTTTCGCGTTGCGAGATCGCGTATACCATATGACGGGGGCTTAAGTTACATCCGTACACATTATCTATTTTTTTTCTCGAATGACGCAGATATATATGTACGGGGTCACGCTGGCTCGTATTCGCGTGTGACTCATACGGATCTGTTCTTTTCAAAGATGGATTTGTTTTTTCAAGCGACCACTCGACGTTATGTCAACGACGGGATGCTAGCTATGATATCATACAATGGTTTTTTAATTTCGCTAAAAACTCACATCATACTTTAATCTCACGTGTGTGTCACATCATTTCAACGACGAATTACATCTGCTGCCTTTTGAATACTTGGAAATATAACTGAGATTTACGCGAGAAAATATATCTCGCAACAGCTACGCATTTTCTGATTTCTCCGTTTTAGCTCGTCGGCAAACCATTCAGCTCTTCTTTGTACAATTACAAGTTTTTGCCGTCGTTTATGCGACAGTGGGCACGAGGGATAAGCTTGCCTGGGGAAGCTAGAGTCGACAGAAGCAAAAGGAAGGCGGGAAAAGAGACGTTGCGATAGACAGAGATAGAGCAGGGATCAATATGCACCTCATACTGTGAATATAGGAGAAGTGATTTCGTCGCTTCTAAATTGAATGTGTCGAGAGATTCATCGTATTGTTAGCAGTAATCAAAGCTAATTAAACTGTCGTGGTTAAATAATTAATTATTAAGTTAAACTTCAAATTATATTTACACGTTCACCGAAGAGCTAAATAATTGTTTCTTCCAAAAAGTGGGACGAAATTCCTTTCCTTTTCTCTCACTACACAGATTGAAATAATGATGGCTTAAATAAACATTTACGATTCATAAATTAACCGTAAGAAATATTAGCAACGCATAGCGACATTTAAAATTATTTCTTATGAACGTTTGCCTGCCTTAATATATATAATATTTCTCAGAATTAATACTAGTATAATTATTTTTTAGGATTTCTACTAGTCATAAACTTTCATTTTAAGCCATCATTTAACAAAATTATAAATGGAAAAAAGGAGAGCCTTTTTTATGAAGACTAGTTGCTCTTTTTACGTTTACATTAATTTCTAAAAAGTCAGACATTTTTTGTGCTTTTGCATATCTTGAATAATTTCACTCATGTCATGCCGGTTATAAATAAATAAGTATGATGACTGACAAATTGCCCTTTCGACAGTTGTAATTGGAATTTGATTAATCGCCAGGAATTCTCCTGTCATATTGGTCATACATTTTTCATGTGTTTTCGATGTGCAGTAAGATTAATTTCGCGTCAAATATATTTTAGAAATTTATACACAGATTGTGTAGGATATTCAATATTCAATAAAAAATGCACATGTATATATATATATATATATACTTTTTTATTGAATATATATTAGCTAGATATTTATTTCCCTTATAAAAATCCCGAATTCCCGAATAAAATTTAATATTGGACTTCAAACATCGTTCGCAGCAAATCCTCCATCAACACGTCAACGACAGCACTATAGATCTCCATCTTTCCCACGTCTCTGGGAACGAACTGTATTTTCCAGTGTGTATGCACACATATACTATATACGTCTGCGGTTTATCAGACTTCATAACGATGAACAGTCGCGTATATATATCCATTTTAAATCAACATACTCGTGTTTATTTCCCATAGACAACTATCTTTCAATCTTTCGCACTCAGCTAAAACGTTTCAGTTTCAAGCGATCATTCTGATTCCGAAAAAAATTATGCAAATATTGTAAACGTTAGGTAATAAACTTAAAACATAAATGTATTTTAGTGAACTTAGTGATCTCAAATCAAGAGATACAGTTTCGAATAATTAATTTTTCGTGCTTTGGCTCTGTTGGCCGATTTAAAAAACATCATATTTATATTCTTAATATTGAGAGCCGATAAAAATATTTCTTTCTGATAAATGTATTTTATTTACAAAAAATTAATATGTCAGCTTGAAAAATTATAAAACGTTTTTATACAAAGAGAATTTAATGAATAGATGAATATGCAGACTATTGCTGCAGTTTTACTGGTTAGGAGAATAAAAACGTTCGGGATCGAAGGATCGTGCATTAATAGCCGATATTTTATAAGGAAGCGAAACGTTGAACTGAGAGGTCGTGGGTTTCGTTAAAACTTGAAGCAGAATCGTGGGAACCAAGATACCGTACAAAAGTACATTACGTCGAATCGAATAACCGTTATTACACGATAAAATGTAAGTTCTTTGCCGTCATCGGAGTTACTTTATGTAAATGAATATAAAGATAGACGACGGAAACTCGACGACGCGATAAGTGATAGTTTGCGAGCTCGATCATTTTCAAAATGATCTTGATCATCTTTAAGAACACCAGAGCCTTGAAACTCGAGGTACACTGCTGATTTATAACGGGTCCTCACTAACACGAATCTGACCCACGGATCATGCTTACAATATTGCGTGACGAGAGCGTGTAAAAGTACATATAAGCGTTGAGAGACGAGTTTGAAATTCAGCATTGTTGTCCGAAACAGTTAGATATACGCACATTCTCATAAAACCACAACTTTGCATAGAAACACACTGCGTTATTTGATTTTACTCAAAGCTTCTAGCATACTCAACGTAATAACTCTTACACTCATGTATGATTAATTATTTATTAAACTTTGTAAATTTAATATAATACTTTATATATAAGATTTGCTAAAAGAAGTAAGAATTTTGCTATTGTTTTTTGCTATCGTATATTTGATCTATATTTCTCTACTAAAGTAAAATATATTGCATATATATTTTTAACAACTGAATAAAAATTAATTTACATATATATTATTAATCTACAGATTCAGCAAAAATGTTTTTGGCAAATAAACTAGTTTATTTATTTCACAAGCGTGTCTCTTTTTCTATTTACAATTCAAGTAAAATTTATGCTAGCTACAGTAAATAGCATGATATGCTGTACATGCTAGCCTTTTCTCTCTGTATGTTAAATACATTATTAATGCAAATATTATATGTTGCCGCAGAGTTAATAATTACGACACGATACCCGCGTATGTACCATATATGTGTGCGTGTGAATTAACGGCAATTCCTGGGTGTTTCGCCGCAGGTCACGTACTCGGCTGATCTCGCGATCGAGATACCAGGCAACCTAAGCCAGGGTGGTTCCTGGTACCGTTTGGATTACAGCCCACCCGTCGGCTCTCCACCGCCAAATACCACTATAGCCGCCACCGAGATCGGCGATGTCATAAAGTTTAAGGACGGTTTGCCTGGGACTAGATACGAGTATTGGCTGTATTACAGCAATAGTACTCTTCACGACTGGCTGACGTGGACCGCCTCGATTACGACACGTATGTAATTCGCGATTGTTCAGCGATCATGATTTTGTTCTAATACGAACAGTTTGTTTTCTATTTTCTCGTCGTCTAAGAGTGCGATTTATTTTTTTTCAATTTTAATACATTTTATTTAATTTTTTAAAATTTAATTAATTTTGTAACGAATTTAATTTGAATAAATTTGAACAAATTTTTAAATGAAAAAAAATTCAAGTACAATTCTGTTCACCAGCACCCGATCCGCCTTCAAACTTGACGGTATCCGTGCGAAATGGGAAAACCGCGATCGTATATTGGTCGCCTCCGGCCCAAGGGAATTATTCGGGTTTCCGGTTGCGGACGCAGAGCTTCAGCGACACCGGAAATCCCAAGACCAGCGTCATCCCGGTTGACTCGGTGCCGTATACACTCCGAGATCTCACTCCCGGTGCCACGTATTCGCTTCAGCTCTTCACCGTGTTGGACGCCAAAGAGAGCGTTGCTTACACCAGCCGGAACTTTACGACAAGTACATAATTGATTAAACATCTAAATAATATGGTTTTTTTTCGCAAGTCTATTTCTTTTCATAAAAATACACGTGTCGCATTGAATTATTTGCAGAGCCGAATACTCCGGGAAAGTTTATCGTCTGGTTCAGGAACGAAACGACGCTGCTGGTGCTATGGCAGCCGCCTTATCCTGCTGGCATATACACACATTACAAAGTTAGTATAGATCCACCGGACGCCATAGAATCCATACTCTATGTAGAGAAGGAGGGCGAGCCCCCTGGTCCTGCACAGGCTGCTTTCAAAGGACTCGTTCCAGGTCAGCTGTTTGCTATCACGTAATTACACGCGTCAAACTATCGGATATACCAAATAGACGAGATTGTGTATAAATTACGTAAACTTACTTTGAGACACAGTATTACATTGCACCGTGAGAAATTAATTTTAAAAAATAAAAACAGGAACTATGTGTGTGTTTGTTACAAAATATTGATACACACGTTTGAAATTGAATTGGCTTTATTATTTCCTTTTTCTGGATATACGAAGCGGAACTATTTCAAGTATAATAGAATCGCGGAGAAAGTACGCGTCTGCTGTTAAATAGAGCAGTTCGTGAATTTCAAGAAGAATAAATCATGTACAATTGTATTAATATTTATTTATTATTTTTAACGAAAAGAAAGACCTTAAGCAGGTCTGTTAAAGAAACATTTGAAGACTTCATTTATTCATTATGTAAGATAAATAATTACAGAAGTATTTATTTAGGTCTAATTATTGAGTTGTGCATCGAACGTATCATTTTCTACACTTAATATTCTGCAGATGTTTAATTAACTTGATTATACAAGTGCAATGGAATTTGTTATTATATACAACTGTTATCTATGATGTTTTTTAGAAAGCTAATTGTGTAATAGGAAAAAAATGCGTCTATTACGAAAATTCCAAAAATTGCTTTAAATCAAATTGCAAATTCTGTTGATTTATGTGCACGCATTTTTTCTAGTTCACAAATATATTTTACGTAATAAAATTACGCTTAAATTAATTGTAGATATTAGCTCACATTGATCGCGTGTGTCCTATCGTTAAAAATATTTAATATTAATAAATTCAATTATAAAAGACGTTGAAAAATACGCGCAGATTTTGGACAATCAAATTTATTTAATTTAAAGTTGTCAATTAATTATTGATGATTATTGTAAAAAATGCATTATCTGATATTAAATTATAATTAATATGCACATAAATTGATGTATCACCTTTTATAGAAACGATAAAATTATTTGTCTAAATTGTCTCAAAATATTATAGGCAGAGCATACAACATTTCCGTGCAAACCGTTTCCGAAGATGAAACATCTGCACCCACCACAGCTCAGTATCGTACAGTGCCGTTGCGTCCTCTCAACGTGACCTTTGATAAATCTTCCGTAACATCGACTTCCTTTCGTATGTTTTGGAACCCGCCCAACGGAACTTCCGAGTTCGACAAGTATCAAATATCGCTCGGTAGTAATCGGAGGCTCACGCCTGTTACACGAAATCGAGACGACGAGAACAGATGGGAGTTCAAGGACTTGGAGCCTGGCAAAACGTATCAAGTGGTCGTGAAAACAGTTTCCGGCAAGGTCACCAGTTGGCCGGCCAGCGGGGATGTCACTCTGAGTATGTTGTCCGTTTTACCCACATTATCTCTTAATTTAGCATCTGTCTAGAGAATCCGCTTTTTTGTTATTATTTAGTACTATAATGTTTTTAATTTTTCTTTTCATATTTTTAGAGCCACTACCTGTTCACGATCTGAGAGCAGTGATCGATGAGAAAACTGGTATGGTGGAGGTTTCCTGGAGTCCGGAGAATTCCAGTACACAAGACAGTTACAAGTTACAATACCATGAGGTGGAAACGGCGATTGGTGGTGATAGTAACACTTTGACGACTGATAAAACAAAGGTTTTTATTAAATAAAATAATTCCTCGACCATTGTTTAATTTTTCACCGTGTTGTTTTATTTTATTTTTCTAACGTAATTGTTAAATCAACAGGTTACCCTGGAAGCTCTACTGCCAGGAAGAAATTATTCCATAATAGTGCAAGCGATTAGCAATAAAATTGAGTCAAACGAAACCGTCCTGTATCAAGCGACGCGTCCAGCCAGTCCTGTGATCGAGGATCTGAAGCCTATTGAAAAGGGTTTGAACATTTCTTGGAAGAGCGATGTCAATTCTAAGCAGGAGAAATTCGAAGTAACCCACAACAGGAACGATACCGGGGAAAGTGCGACCACTCTGACTACAGAGTCGCATATCGTCTTGGAAGATCTTTATCCAGGTGCGGCATACGAGGTCAAAGTCTTCGCAATTAGTCATGGACTTCGAAGCGAGCCGCATGATTATATGCAAGCTGTCTGTAAGTGATAATCATTTTTTGAGTTCTTTAGACTTTATCTTCCATTTGGTATCAATTGCACAAGTTTATTCGACTTGTTAACAAACCGTTAAATTATATTTTTAGTGCCTCACCCACCGAAGAATCTCAGCATCGAGAAAGTCACGAGCAACACTGTTGTCATTCACTGGGAAGCTCCGACAGACTCAATATTTACCGAATATTCCATCAGATATCGTACGGAAGATGACCCTAGATGGGTCAAACTTGAAAGCGTTCGTGTCACGGAAGCGGAAGTCGCGGACATGACACCTGGAGAAAGATATACTATACAAGTGAACACCGTCAGTTATGGGGTCGAAAGTCTGTATCCGTTGCAAGTGAATCACACAGTCAGTAAGTATTCATCATAATTTTGTCGTACATTTTTTCAATAATAGTTAATCTATATTTAAATAATTAAGGGCGCGAGCTGAAGAACTCGTTTTTATATTTTCTTGTCATTTCAGGACCTAATCCAGTTTTAAATATAACACCAATCATTGACTCTACCAACGTAACTCTCGAATGGCCGCGACCGGAAGGTCGTATCGAGACCTACGTTATAAGATGGTGGCCTGTGAAGAATCCAGAGGACTTTAGAACGAAAAACGTCAGCGAGAGCAACGATGTATCTGATATCAGTTTCGAGGAGAATTCTGTGCAAATCGGAAAGGTCCTGGTGAGCGACCTAATGCCTGGAGTACAATACTTCTTCGTCGTCTACACAGTATCTTACGATCTAGTCAGCGACATCAGTAATTTAACCACCAGAACAAGTAAGTGCATTGATCTTCTTCGTCATTAATGATGAGTTGATCTCCTTAGGCTTTGTTATTTTTTTCGCAATTTATTTGACAGCTTATTAATGAATTTCGCCTGAGTACTAACAAACATCTTTGTTTTCCTTTATCACTAATCTCGTCTGTCTCGTCTGCTTTTCTGTTTTTCTTACGTCACATATGTCTGTCGAAATGTTTTGTTATTCGTCTTGGCAATTTCATCTGAAAGCTGACGAACAAACGATGGGCGAATTGAGACGATCATGGTAGGTCGATTCATAACTAGACAAACAAAAACGAGAACTTTGAAATCTAGTGCCGCTGATCCAGTCTGAGGTCGTCGTAGTGGTCGATCGGGATCAACCTGGATCGTTGACGTTGCGATACACGCCGACGCCGATACAGTCTTCGAGGTTCGATCTCTACCGATTCAGGATTAGCGATGACAATAATACCACGAAAGAGCGTATGGTGGACGACACTGACACTAAGGTTACATTTGGTGGATTAACACCTGGCAAATTGTATAACGTGACCGTTTGGACTGTAAGCGATAATGTCGAGAGCAGACCTCTCATCCGGCAAGACCGACTCTGTGAGTATCCACAGCTTGATTATGCAATAATTCTTCCTATAAATGCTAATTCCGCGATTTTTAACTAAATTCAGAAATAGCTATGTTTGCTTGAATTTTTTAAATTTTATTAAATTTTTCATATTTCTGTATCTAACATAATTTATAGACAATTCACTTAAAAACGTAGCATTACACAAACGATACATTATGTAATTATTTTACATATACACACAGTCGAAAGATCCCAGTAAAGAAATTAAATGAGAATATCTTTATAATATTTAATTTCTTTTCTATATCGACAGTAATTCATATTAGTATATTGTTTTTATTATTTAATGTTATTGTATTGTGAGATACATTTATCCGCGCACCAACAAAAATCTTCTTTTAATATTTACGTAAAATTCTTTAGACAATCTTGTTAAATTCTACCTATCTTTATTAGCTCGAAGATAAATATAATTTTAGATCCCGAACCGATCACTGCGATCCATGCGATTGATGTGAATGATACGAGGATCACGTTGACCTGGGACATCCCGCATGGAGAGTTTGACACTTTTGAAGTACAATACATAAACACAGAAGAAAACTACATCCAAAATATAACCTCGGTCAACATGATCACCATCTTCGATTTGAAGCCACATAGAAATTATACGTTCACGCTTGTTGTACGTTCGGGCACAGAATCCTCCAACTTGAGAGTCTCGAATCCGCTCAGCGCCAGCTTCACCACCAGCGAGTCTTATCCAGGAAAGGTGGAGAAGTTCCATCCTATTGACATTCAACCGAGCGACATCAGCTTCGTCTGGTCTCTACCCAGTCAGGAACAAAATGGCATTATTAGGAAATTCAGCATCACTTACGGTTTAGAAGTAAGATTCCCTTTTGTCAAAATATACTAGCAAGACAAATTTATATTTTTATACAATTATTTTATTAAAAAAAAATATCAAAAGAAATATCCAAGAATGACGCTCTTATACGCTTCTCTACGCGTTAAAAAAAAATTAATGTGGCTTTAAATTCAAGTATTTTTTTCGTAACTTCCACTAGAGTTCAACCCATACTCAGACACAGGACTTTAGACCGAATGAATTCCGCGGGGTCCTCAAGACCCTCATACCTGGTAAGACATACGTCTTCCGGATTCAAGCGGAGACGAAGATCGGTTTTGGTCCTGAGGCGATCTGGAAGCAGAAGATGCCGATTCTGGCACCGCCGAAGCCGTCCACGCAGGTGGTGCCTACCGAGGTTTGCAGAAGCAGCACCACGATACAAATTAGGTTCAGGAAGAATTACTTCAGCGAGCAAAACGGGGCAGTCACATCGTACAGCATTATAGTTGCCGAAGACGATAGCAAAAACGCTTCTGGACTGGAGATGCCCAGTTGGAGGGACGTTCAGGCCTACAGCATTTGGCCACCGTATCAGGTAAATTTTATTGCTTATTTATTTATTACAGGTTTTTCATTATAAGTTTAAAAAAAAATATACAGGTATTTTTTATTAATTATTTTATTTAATTAATAATTCACAAATTTAGATATTCAAGATATTATATTGATAAGTTGCAAAATATTATATAAAACATAACATTAGAAAGTTATTGAACTTAATAATTGTGAAATAAATGTGCGTAAATTTTTCCTCCTAAAAATCAATAGGGGTTTCAATCTCAAATCAACGAGTTCAGTATAAGTTCAAAGAAATAAATATAAAACTTTTAATATTGATGCAACATATATTATACGGCACGACTCGCATTGACTTGTAAGATCATGGACGATTGTCGTAAAATGTATGTATACGTTATGACGTGGATCCGCAATTACGCATAAACGCTCGCGGTCAGCGCATATTATGCACAGATCGAAGGATATGGCATATCTAGTTGCGATCTGAAACTGCGAATGTAAAGATGTGGTTTTCCCCGGTGACATTTTAGACAATAAAATGATACAATTTTGTGTTTAATTATTTACACGCTTATGTTATCGTATAGAGAAAGCAGTGTGTGCGTGCATACGACTAATTTTTAATAACATTTTCGAAAAAAACTGTGCAATTGAAATTTACAAGTCATGAAACGTATTTTAATTTTTGACAATTTCTATATATTTTATTATTGGATCTCGTATTATTAGGTTTAATCGAAAATAATATATAAAATCGTAAAACAAGCAGATTATATCTTGGAAATTTTACGAGATATATTAACGGATTAATTGTGTATTTAATGGATGTTGCATTAATTGACTCTAATTTCATCTGACCGAATACTCTAGTATCCATGAGTGTTATTATTAACGTTTCAATAGGAAAAACTGCGCAGCAAATTAAAAGCAGAGTTTATTGCGAAATGTGAGACACGGAAAATTATCGCATTTTTTTATAGTTATAAACAAGTTTAATCAATTTGACGAGATGGATATTTTCAGCAACTTAAGCTCAAATATCAAGCAAATGTTTATGCAGGTTTTTATAGTGATTATATGCATTTTATATATAAATATATTATTATACAAATATGTAATTATTATTATAGGTGTAAAAAATTGTTTCATGTATTTTAAATATATAGATTAATATATAGATTAGTGCAGTATATTAATTATAAAATTTAATGATATAGAAATATAAGATATACATAAATTGAGAAAACGATTTATTTAGCTATACGACTGATTGAATTAGCATTTAAAAAACTTAAATTTACGTTAATTACTATTTTATTATTTGCATTATTGTAAACTATTAGATGAAAAAATACGCGATGCGCGTGTGATATTATATCAAAATAACTGCATATTCATAATTATATACGATTTATAGGTAATGGAGCCGTATTATCCTTTCAAAAACGGATCTGTGGAGGACTTTACAATCGGTTCTGAAAATTGCGACAACAAAGTCGGATACTGCAATGGACCATTGAAATCAGGATCCACTTATCGGGTGAAAGTGCGTGCGTTTACAGCACCAGACAAATTTACAGACACCAGCTACAGCTTCCCCATCCAAACAGGTGAGAGCGATCGCGTGAAAAGTCTTAAAAGAAGTAAGAAAGAAAATCGCGTACATACCATTAACGTATCCGATGTCTCATTAGTCGAGCAGCAAAAACTGAAAGATATATAAAAATAAAAAATGTGAAAAAACATCGGATACGATAGATGGTTTGTAAAGCTTTAGAGGCACACTGCGCATGTAGTGAAAGCCTCGCTAAATTCATGCCTCGTTATTTCGTGTACATGTCTGCCCAAGGATTGCTGCTGGCAGGTAAGATCTCAGGAATTAAAGTGTCTTAATGCACGCCTCGCGAGATAAATGCGACAATTCTCTTTTTAGCGCGAAATCTATCTAACTCGCACTATCCTTGGCGATCGTTTGACTCATTGTGATACTCAAAATTCGCTGTGCGTGTCGAACAGATAAGGACAACACGGCCATCATAGTCGGTGTTACCGTCGCCATAGCGATGCTGCTGTTTCTATTAGGCATCGGCCTGTTTATGCGAAGGAGAAGGAGCCAGGGTCGCAAGACGACTGAAACCAGAGCAACCGACAACCTGTCATTGCCGGACAGCGTCATTGAGACTAGGTACCAACAAATTATAATATTATATTCTATTTCTTTTTTTTTACATTTTCCACATATTTCTGAAATACTCTGTATATAATAATTATATTAATTTTGAAGATAAATAATTTGTGTTGAGAGACAATTTTTTATAGCTTTATTTTTTCTTGAAAAAATGTATAGTATTACTCGTAAAATAATGTAATATTTGCTGTTGTGTCTATTGCAGCCGGCCTATTAAAGTCGAAGATTTTGCCGAGCATTATCGTACAATGTCGGCGGATTCCGACTTTCGATTCTCGGAAGAGTTTGAAGAACTGAAACACGTTGGAAGAGATCAACCTTGCACAGCGGCTGATTTGCCCTGTAACAGGCCAAAAAATCGCTTTACAAATATTCTTCCGTACGATCACAGTAGATTCAAGCTTCAGCCTGTCGATGATGAAGAGGGTTCCGATTACATCAACGCCAATTATGTTCCGGTACGTAAGAATATTTTATAAATCATTTAAATTAATTTAATAAATTCTTTTTCTGAAATTGTTTTATTCGACAGGGTCATAATTCGCCGAGAGAATTTATTGTGACCCAAGGACCTTTGCATTCGACTCGCGACGATTTCTGGCGAATGGTGTGGGAGAGCAATAGCAGAGCTATCGTGATGCTGACGAGATGCATCGAGAAGGGCAGAGAAAAATGCGATCATTACTGGCCGGTGGACACTTTGCCGGTATATTATGGAGACATTTGTGTGACGATATTAAACGAGACGCACTATCCGGATTGGAGCATCACGGAGTTTATGTTATGCAGAGTGAGTGTGATTAGTATTTCTTCTCTTATATTTATTACGAATATCTATATATTGTTAAAACATGGTTTGTTTGTGACGTTTGCCGGTCATTTCCGATTTTTGAAATACATTTGTGAAATATCTTGTTACAGGGTGACGTAAAGAGAGTGATACAGCACTTTCACTTTACCACCTGGCCGGATTTCGGCGTTCCAAGTCCACCTCAGACTCTGGCGAGGTTCGTGCGAGCTTTCAGGGAACGTGTCAGGCCCGATCAGAGGCCCATAGTTGTTCATTGCAGTGCCGGAGTAGGTCGTAGCGGCACCTTTATCACCCTTGACAGAATATTGCAACAGATTCTCGTATCAAAGTACGTTGACATCTTCGGAATCGTCTGGGCGATGAGGAAGGAGCGAGTCTGGATGGTCCAGACGGAGCAGCAGTACATCTGCATCCATCAGTGTCTTCTAGCTGTTTTGGAGGGACAGGATACAACTGGACCGCCGCGAGAGATTCATGACAATCAGGGATTCGAAGGTACGCTCCGAAATTCTATCGCGATATTCGAAATTACAATTGACAATGAGGCAAATTAGGTGATCAATGACCAAGTGCGACTTTGAGAACGCATCCGTGATAGGTAATTGAAAGTGTAGCTTCATATCGAAGAGTTGAGAAGCTGAAGAGAGAGTCGAGAGTAGTGCATGTATTGGAAAAAATCTAAATGGAATATTTGTCATTTGTTACCTGTTTTTTCTCTCGTATTATGTCCTTTCTTGCACATGGAAACAGGTTAAATATTTCACAGAGAATACTCAAATTAAAGAATAGATCATAAAAAGATAATAAAACATTTTTATACAAAAAATACGTAGTACCAAGAATAAAATAATTGGTTATTTTTATAATAAGAAGATAATATGGTGTGGGCGGTGATGGTGGTTATAAGCACACGTATCTTGAGAAAACTATATATAGTTGTTTTCTTTTTTGTAAAACAATTTCACTTCCTTTGCCTAATAACTCACTCCCCTCTTTCTGCAATCTTTTGCGACCTTTGTTGATATTCAGGCAAAAATCGAAGCTCGGTCGAAAACACTAAGAGTCCTGCCGAGGATGAGAAGGAGAGGTGACCTTCAAACAGCGACTCCTGCGTCGACGGTAATTTCGATCGTTGCTTTCCTTCTTCCCTGCATGAGTCTATATATGTACAAAAGTGATATGCAACATTTTTATATTTTATTGGTGTGCATTGTTTGTGAAAGCACGATGAGAGAGAGAGAGAGAGAGAGAGAGAGAGAGAGAGAGAGAGAGAGAATACAAAAACATTAATATAATGCTTTAACAGTGAAAAACAGAGAATGCTTGCCTGTACTTTACATTTAATTATCATAATTTTCTGCATATAAGCTTTAGCCATATAATTCCAGCAACCAAGATTACTGATCGACTACTAAAAGGATTAATTTAGAACAACATTTTTTTAATATCCTCTTATTAATACTTAGATATTAAATATTTAATCAAAAAAGTTTTGATCACAAATTGAAATTTATATTATATTATTTATACACAGATTATAGAGCTTTAGTTTATCAGCTGATTTCTGTGAAAAAATATTCTAGTTTAAATAATTATAATCTATTATTTTTTATTCCATTTTATTTTATTTTGAACGAACTTTCGAACTGCTAACCCTCGCGACAATAGTCTCTCGATGCTATAAATATTGAATATAATGCGAATCGAGCTAATTAGCATCGCGGAAAAAAGACAATACTTACGAGAATCGAATTAACATACTTTTCTTAGAAGAGATTAATATTAGTGTGCTAAGTACAAAATATGATTGAATGCTTATTCGAGGATTTAAATCTGTCTAAAATGAAAGAATAAGATATATTTTTATTTTTAATTTATCGCATAAATATACAGCTTCGACAATAATGTCAATTTATTTGCAATTACAAAAATAATTACGTAGCTTGCATCGAGCATGTTTGCCATGTGTAAAACGAGCAGCATTAATCACAATTCTTCTAAACATTTTCTAATATAATTTATTATTTTACAGATGACGAAGGGATAGCCGAGTCAGGAATGTGATGGTTCGATTACTGGTTAGAAGTAATAATTAATGGCGACAAGAACGGAAGATCTCGTTTTCGAAAGACGCTTGAATCTTCAGGATTCTTCAAGCTGATTCGGACAGGAGAACCCATAGAGAAATGAATGAAAATTCGATTGAAAAACAAAGGGTAAATAGCGTGAGAATGATCGATCGAATTAATAAATTGTCGTATACGAAACATAAAAATTTCTCGGAAGAATATCGAATAGCGTGTTGAGCAACAAGTGTGCGAGTACGTCCACACTTGTCTTTATTCTTCTACCGTCTACATATCGAAGGGAAGCGTGTTCAATTTCGTGATACGCGTAGAATAGTCTCACGATTAAGATTAATTATGTCGCACAAAGAAAGGAGGGATGCCAGTAGGACAATAACAAATGGGAAACACAGTGTCAAAAATGAATATGCTGCCAAGAAGTGGGATTACGAATCAAATTGCGTGCGCGACGTTTCGCGCAACGACCGGAGATTACGTCTTTATACACATATATACCTATAAAAACTCATATACATATCTATAGATATATACGTATATATATATATATATATATATATATATATATATATATATATATACATTAAGTAGCAAGAAACCGAGATAAGACGCGCGATGTTGATAGACGTTATTGTAGGCCGTGAAACGAATGCAAGGATGCATTATTCCACTGGTTGTGTGACGATAGGGGGCCTCGGACCACATCGCATCCGCAATGAGTCTAGCGAACGTTCCTTCGTTAGATCGCAAATGCATATGTACATATATATATATAAGACGAGACAGAGAGCGTTTTAGTATTCGATCCGTGTAAAAAAGAAAAAAAAACTGGCGTCTTGGTTCTTCTCTCTCGATGCACGCGCAAACATTTTTCTGAGATTACCACCAACAGTAACACTTTGTTCAATGTTCTACAGATAGATGAAAATGGCTTTTTTTACGTTGTCGTGTTTATCTTCTACGGAATTAAATATAGTCCTATCCGGAGGTGAGATCGCGATTAAAAGCGACTTCGTTGACAGAAGCGAGGCGCAAAATAACGATAAGGCGTTCGACGACATCACGCTGGTTCAGCTATTTGTTCGGAGTGTCCGTCCAAGAGCTATACTAGACGATGATTTAATAAGTAATAACGTTAATGTTCAATCAAATTAAATCTAGGAAGAGAAAAGAAATCTCAAGGACGAGCGGGTGTGGTTGTGCAGAGCTTTTGATCGATCCTTCTTTCTGAGATGGGCGAAACAATATCAGTGGGAACAAAAAACTCGCATTTTCGTAGAAGCCATATCATTTCTGGAAGGAATCACGGTACGTGTGTATGTGTGTGCGTGTGTGCGTATCTGCGTATATGTGTATGATGTAATGTGTGCGCGTGTGTATGTAATTAATCGATAATAATCGATTGAGGCGATACATACTGTTCCCTTCCATCATTGCGAATCGCGATCGCTGTTGGGATAATAGAATATCCGAGATAAAATAATTACAGTAAACATGCATAGTTAATCGTCTGAGCAATAAGATTCTCAGAAAGATAGATCTTAATTTTAAAGTTAAAGCGACCAATTATTTTGTAATGGTGACCGTTCGTAGGACAAATCGAAGATTGTATCATCATTTTCGATAATTAAACGTCGTTTTTGCGGCTATCTACGATAAATAATTAAATGTACTTAATTTTTGTACTCTTGACCAAAACGTGATTACATGTTGTAAGTAAACTTGTTTTCGTAAATCAGGGTTAGTTGAATTTTCTTCGTTAGAGTTTTCGAAGAATTAAAAAAAAAAAGAATTTGTATTCATCGATGTCGTATTTTTGGATGAGCATTTTTATAGCATCGGTCACATCATGAATCGAAAAATTTATACAAAAACGATTGCAGAGATTATTAAAAATTAAATTTTGCATAAACACTTTCTCCAGAATTTATATTAATCCGTTAAGGAATGAGAATAATCTCGTATATATAATTAATAAAATTAAATAAATTGGCACAACGTGAGACGAAGCTACAAATTTCATTGTCAGATAGATTTTATTTGAGTCTATATACATATGTATATTATATGTATAAGTGAAGAGCTTTTACTATAATCCTTAAATTATTCAAGACGGATTGATAAAAATTCTGTTTAATTTTTATCGAAATTTCCTATAAGATAATCTTATATAATTGTAATATACATACACAAGTACGAACGCACATCGACAGTAATTATTAATTGTAGTGCTGTTGAAACATGTTGCTACATACTATCAATGTCAATTTATATTCACGGAAGAATGTATTGGAGCAAAGCAAAGAAAAGGAGAGAAATAATGAATTTTTTAGTAATCCTGATCTTCTCTCTAATTTTAATTAAATAATTCTTGTCGCGTGTAATGTTGCTTTGACATCCGAGATCTTTAGCTCTCATTTAAATGCTATTGTTGAAATAATTCGATGATCGATGATTCTTTTCAATACTCAGAGAGGAGTTTTTTAGATAACAAATTTTTCGATCGTATTTTTATGCTTTGACAAATATGAGAGATAGATACGTTCATTCTCTCTCGTTTTACCGAATATTAATAAATATATTACCAAATATTTATAAATTTATTTACTGATCTATATACGTTGAAACTCTTCGTTTTTATTTCGCGTTTATTTTAAGATCGAAAACCTATTTTGGACTATGAGGTTGTGTGCATTTTATCTAATTGTAACAATACAATGATGTTAGGATCGAATATGTAAAATATCGTGAACAATTTAATGTATATTTCTTCTATGCTAACATAGCGAGATGTTTGGTTAAATGAAATGACTTTATAATTAATTTCTCGTATTAATAGCTGAGCTCAAATATTTTCTATTTTGTTATTGTTATCGATAATTTTTTTCACTTAAACTATATTATTATCTAATTAATATTGTGAAAAATTTCCTTTTTAATTTTAAGTAGATTTTAAGATCATTATTTAATATATAATATTAAAATACATTGTCTTTCGTTTAATTAACAAAATTAATAAAATTCTTCGCCGTATAATGTACATGTAATGGACATTGCATAGTTGCATAATTTAAGGATGCATTTATGTGTTTTGTTTTTTAAAAATGAAGACAGATCGCTAATTGTCTAAAAACAAGAAATAATCTCATTTAGATTATCTGTTCGCGGCTAAGAATTACACTCGAAGAATTTAGCAATTTTGTGCAATTATTAATTACTTTAAAAGAATTTAGCAATTTTGTGCAATCATTGTTTTTTCATATAGTGGAAATTCATGTGTGATTAAGATTCTTCGTTAGATTTTAATTTAGGGACGAAATCGCGTTGAAAAAAGACGTGCGTGGGAAATGACGTCAAATTTACAAATGTAGCTTAGCGCTTGGACTATATTTTCCATTACTTTATTCTGTGATAAATCATGATCGTCGATCAAGGACGAGGAACGAAAGGACTAGGCACAGAGATGCGGTAGGTCTTCCAAAAAACGAATTGAAATAGCGAAGTCGTTTTTATTTTTTATCGCTACCGCACGTGTATCAATACGTGCCAATTGTTGCCGTTGAATCAATCGTTGACATTGAAGTCCAAAAATTGCGGGAACGAGGTTTTTAAATGTATTTTACGTGTCAAAGCGTGTGCGTATCCTGCAGGGCAATATTGTACATACATAGCTTTACGTCATAAGGTCTTATTCACGGACCCTCATCCTCGGGAGCGATTCTCTGTGAGAAAACGAATATGTGTGCTTTTGCTTTAAAAAAAAAAAAAAAAAAAAAAAAAAGCACAGTTGCCGCGAGCAAGTTTTTCGTCGGAATATTTTTCACAAAGAATCGACGTTTACTCTCGTACGTATAGAGGGCTTTTTAACCTCCTTTGTAAATATATATTTTTTTTTTGTATCGATTGCGAGAGAAGAGAGGTCAGTTCGACGCATATAGGATAGCGTTACGAAAAAAGAAGAATCTCATGTCCCTTATTGTAACAATAAGTTTCGCAAACCCGTTCAATTATTTCTGTCACGTAATATCATATAATACATATTAAGGTATATGTATATCTGAAGAATTTGTACAACGTGCAAAGCACGAACGGAGGACACGGGTTGTCCCGCAATATCGCATATTATACAAATATATGAAAAAAGGGACACGCTTGCATAATAAACGTGGCTCTATCAATAATCCTTGTCGTTTTATTTTCCGTATCCTTTACCATATTAATAATCGATACATTGTGCGAGTAGAGATAAACAGATAAATAAAAAAATTATTTTAGAAGAGAGATTTATTGGATAGAATTATTCAATTCTGATTTTAAAATGTCAATATAGATTCATCATTATACACGAGCGATATACATATAAGTTTTACGTAAAATTACTTATAATATCAAAAGACGATGTGTGTGTAACGATATTATAAATATTTCCGGCAAAGTAAGATAAAAAAAAGATGTGAACGCCTCAAAGAAAATATTTGTCCGCATTCTGGAAAAATAGTTGACTTAAGGTATCAGCAACAAGATGCTATAGCCGCCTAATAAAGGATCGCTCGACAAGTTTCTTTGAATCTTTACTTTCCTCTCAGTTGGCTGAGTATTCTGGAGAAAATTCCACGCCCGGAATCCTCCGTGGATTTATCGGTAACTCCATTTTCCTCATTACGAGGATACCTACGTAGTATACGACTCAGCGATCCTGTCCGGGGACGGGCAAAAAGTTTTCTGGGCGAGCCGTCTTTGTCGACGAGCTTAAACATCCTTCCCAAAGAGTTTGTCTTCTCTTTCACCGATGCTTTCTCTTCATAATTATCGACGCTTCTCACATTCTAAGAGAATAAAAGAGCCAAAAATGTTATAAGTCGCGAAAACTTTTCTCGCTTATTTATTCGAGTTTAGAAAATACGATGGAGAATAATGCAATTGCGAAAAATTAGCTAATATTGATTAAAATATAATTTTTATTAAATAACGTTTTTTACAATTACAATATTTACGGTTGATTACTACATCGACTCGCGTTTAATTAGTCATAATTGAGCGTTTATTATACACTGATAAAGTAATTGAAGATATTTGATTGTCTCATTAATATTTTTGTTGGTGCAAAACATATTTATAACACATCCAAACATGGCATTTTATCTTGTAAATTCTATGTATATTTGATCTAGGTCGTATTTCAGAATCATCGCGAACAGAGCAGTATAAAGCATATATATTATTCAATTTAAAATGCATTAATTTTTCTCGACGCGAGATATAAATTGTTTGAACAACAGGAACAATAAATTCAAAATAACAAAGAGAAAATTCTCTTTTAACGATTAAATTTATTTATATATAAAGATGATATATAGTGAAAAAATAAACTGAAACAAAAAAAAAATAAAAATAAAAATTACAGTACGCACAGATATAAAAACGTATAATATCAGCAGTAAAATTCGTTCAAGGTCGGGTACGGTACAATTTGTTCTTACTATGCTCTGTCATTCTCAGGATTCAAACTTGCTTCATATATCATGAGATATTACCGAAGCTCCCAGAAGCACCTTACATTTGTGAAACATGACGCCCAGAGGATCCAAATCACTTACGCTGTCCAAGTCCAAAGAAGATTTTCCTATAGTAGATGGTGTATGCGTCTTAAATATTTTTCCCATTCTATTCAACGTGACGCTTTTCAACCTCTTGACGTCCTGCCTGACAGCTTCGGTCCTTGATATCGTACGAGGTAATTCCGACGAACCTCTTGATTGCTCAATCGATGGTGCAATCTGTCGTGTGCTGGCAGACTCTGTCGTCACTTAGTAATTTAATTTTATATTAATATTAATATTTATATTATTTTATGTCATATTTTATATTTATTATATTTTACATTTTGTATTTATATTTGTATTAATAATATAATAATAAACGTTTTATATAAAGTTGAAAATATTTCGTATATTTATTATATATATGACATTTGTCATATTCGATATAATATTGATGTATGTATTCGACAAAAAATTCTTAATTATACAACATGATGCATATGTCTCTATTAGTTATCAATATTAAATAACTGACAGTGTATTCTCAATATATTGATAATTTCTTATATTGAATACTCAAATGCGCAATATGGGTAATTATACTTTATGAGAATTGCCATTACAAATAAATCACTCTCTTCCTATATTGCGATTTGGTGTCAATCGATAACTAGTTCGCCAATCGCAGTTGCAGCAATAAATACGGGGTGAGTCTTGGGGTAATTGAAACCTATTTCGTGCGAGGTAATATGCACACGATCAATGTAACAGATTCGATGGCAAAGTTCTTGAGAGAAAAAATTAAACAAAAATATCATCTTATTCGTTAATGCGAGTGTAAACTCTAAAAGTGAGGAAAATCATGTAGTTTGTACGATCGGACGAACGTATTATTTTTATAGAGCCGCAGATGGTGCAGTGAAATAAATCACGGGATAACTTCTTTAAAGCTTTCATATAGAGTACGAAATGTGGGAATTTTAGCTGCAATCTCATTTTTCTGACTAACATTTTCGCAATTTTCTGTCTATCCTCCTTGCGGTAGTTTTTCTAAATTTTGTATGTTTCGCATTCTTATAAATAGCAGCAGAAAAATATAAAAATATAAAAATACATTTTATATAAAGAAAATTATATATATATATATATATATATATATATATATATATTATAATTTCAAATACGTGAAGAGCGCGTTAAGAATCCTATTAAAGTTTTATTTCCATTTCGAAATGAGCGTATCGATATTCGGAGTCGATAAAAATAAACAAATGGATTCCGAACGTGTCAGCAATAATTTTACGATGGATTATGCCGGGACACAAAATTAAAAACATACATTGAGATTGATCGATAGCTATGCAAAAAGAAAAAATATCCGGTTCAAGAGTTTTTGACCGTCTATAATTATTTTTATTCATCTGTCTACACATTGAAGTTAACGAGAAAAATAATTAACTATTTGAATGTTATACAATTGTACAAATATCTTAAATTATTTATCTGTTTTTCTTCGATCTTGTGAACACAAGTATTAATTTAGCGCAAATAAATTATATAAAGCGCATGTTTAAATGTTACTTGTGCGCTGAAGACGATCTAAAATTAAGTGTAACAGATACACAGCACGAAAGTAAATTAATTGACTTACTCAGTGAGGCTGGTGCCTGAGATTTACTGGATTCAGATTCATTAATTATTTCCGACTCCACTGCTAGCGTTCTGCCATTTTCTTCTCGACGAGCCTCATTAACGACAACCTAAAACATTCATTGCAATTTTATTTCACTCCCGAATTTTGATACACTTAATTGACGGCCCGTCAAAGGATCGGTAAAGCAATTTGAGTTGAATAAAAATATACCAATTTGTGTTTCAGTAAAATTCGAGTAGCGGAACTAACCTGATTCTGTGATTGATCTCTATTGAACATTTTTACGTCCAACTCATCCATCTGCATCATGTATTCGATTAACAATTCTCGGTTGGCAGTGATCCTCGATTTCTGTATAAATTTCGAAAAAAATGCGATATAAATTCGTGTGATAGCTTTTCTCGATTTTAAACGTGACAAGCACAAGCTGTGTAATCGCGAAAAATAATCTCGATTTTATGTAAAGATACGATTCTCGCGCTCTCGTAACGTCTTACTTCCGATGAGAAATACTCCATCAAGAAGCTTACATGAATATTTCAATAAAAATATATTTTTGCAAATTCTGATACGAGGAAGATGTTGCATTTCAATCTGACAAGCAAACGCGACATATAAGTAAACAGACGTTGATATTACCACATCTATCGAATGAAAGAATCACGAGTGGGAACCTTTTCCTCTTTGAAGAAGATAGATTTTCGGCAGTGTCGTGTTAACAGAATTGATGGTTCTGATAACTATTCTTTATCGCGCAGTGAATTGGCGTTTTCACATTCCACATTGAGATGTCTCGATATTGATTATACTTGAGAAAAATGAGGAGGCATACAAGTCCAAGACCTTCGTTGACATTAATAGCGTTTTATAGAGTCGACTATTGAATATTTTTTGGCAATGGCGGAATCGCATATTGTTCGTTTGTTTTGTTATCGAATAAACATATATGTTACGACACTGATTTGCATTCAATCTAGATTAATTATAAATTAATGAACAATTGCTAATTTGTTGCAGAAATTATTTTTCTTCCGATTTGTATTTTTTAAAACAGATCTTTTATTAATTCCTGACAATTATAACTGTCCGAAAAATTTTGAGTTAGTTTTCGTTTAATAGAAGATCCTTCATGTACTTAGGATTAACTCGGATGATTAATTGAATCATAAAGTAATTTTCTCTTGTCGACGGAACGTTGACTAATTGTCGACGAATGTGCGATCTCATTGGATGAGTTTGCGATTCCAAATAAACGAAAATTTTTAGATACATATACTCTTGAAATACTCTGCACAAAGATCTGTCTTTTTAATGACATTTTTATTCAATTTAAAATATAAATAAATATTTATAAAATAATAATTTAACCTCTAACTTTTTTATGTGGTGGAATATAATTTTTATGTAAATATTAATATCGTTGTGTACATAAATATTTTAAATTTATTAATTAGAATAAATTAAATTTTTACAATTTATATTATTCTATTTATTTGCAGCAGTTTTCCTAGTATTGTAAAAATTATTTATATACATAACTCATATTAGTATCATATTATTATATACATAACTCATATTATTATAATGTACTACTATTAGTTTAATCCTATTTAGAAAAAGAAATTTGTTTTAATATGAAGTAAGTTGAAAATATTATTTTATAATTATGAATTGCTTCATTTAAAATAAACTTATTATTCAAATTAATAAATTAATAAGAGGCATTTTTAGGACTTAATTATATTATAAATTAACTTTATTTTTAAACTTTAAGAAATTAATTCTTCTTCGCCAGGAATAATGTAAAAAAAGGTTGTGAGTTAATTCGACACACTGGCTTTATTTTTAAATTTTATTTGCATAAATCTTTTCTTAATTTAAACATCACAAAGCAGAAATAGCAATAGAGAAAAATTTATACATAAACCAAACAAAACTCGTAAAAAGGTATTCACAGTTTGGTATAATTTTTTTATAGGCGTCGTAAAATTTAATGTTGAGCGATTTATGACTTGCGGCCACTTCTGATCATTGTGTTCAAAAGCACGTAATATAATTAGGAAGAATAAAGTGCGCCATTAAAATAGTTAAAGTAGCTTAGCTTTATTTAATATTTAAAAGAGTGAAACGTACAATTCTGTTCAGTGAACATGGAATGCAATTTCTTTTGAGGGAAATCGTACTTTTCGAAAAAAAAAAATAATAAAAACGGGTAATCAAACGGATAATAAAACAATAAAAAAAACAGCATACATGTAACAATACTGTTTTCGTTATACACTAGAATTAAATATCGGATTATTTTCAGTTGCTGTCGCGAGATTATATAGTTATTCTTTAATTAACGCAACATTCGCAGCAATTTAATTTTAACAATGAACTGAAGATTAAATAACAATAATGGATTCTTGAAGAGAATATAATGCTGAAATGGAAATTTTTCGCGGCAAAACTTGTATATTCTGTTATATATGCATAAAAGATTCAGCTTAAATGTGTTTTTATTCTTGGGAAAAAGAGAGGGAAAACTTTAAATATTCGTTACATTTAGAACGATGTAATGCATAATATAACACATGTGACGTTCTTCATATTATAATGTCAACTGCTCCCTAACGTAATATGTAGCAGTATAATTTATGGTAATGCAGTAGTTGACATACGGAGAGTAATACTGGATAACGTTACAGACGCTTCGAACGCATCCTCATTAGCGGATTAAATCAATTAGGCAAAAAAATTTCGTTATATCTTGCAGGAGTAGGAAATAATTCGATCGATAATAACACGATAAATGTGAAAAATACAGCGATCAGTAGTGAGATACTCCAAATAAAAATCATATCGCGAAGGATAATTAACTATAAATATCGAGAGTTAAAACAGGTGATTTTAATACTAATGCTTTTTGATAAATTATAAAATAATGTTTAAAAAGTTTCTTAAATGCGACTTCGAGAAAGAATCGTAATTTCTATATGCACGTTGCAAGATATAATAAATTGGGAAATTCGTTGTAACAAGTTGCACGTGCAATTCGTTGTATTGTATTATTCGGTACATATTTGGAAAAGCTATCACAATTCTCTCACTGTCCAAATATTTCGATACACATAGAAATATATAAACTAACGGGATCGGAATAGTCTAACTTTCTCTTCTGTGAACTATAACTCTATTACATACACAGTCAAATGTAAACTATATAAACCGCACTGTTGGTGCATATGTAACAAATGTCATCACGTATCGCAGCTTTGATCCGTAATATTACAAAATTAAATATGAAAACATCCGCTTACAGTATTAATATTTCGACTTCTACCTATTTAATAAAGTATAGAAACATCCGCTTATAAAGTATATTTTGATCTCTTCATCTATTAATATTTCTGTCGTCTATCAATATCTTGAAAACTAAACAAAATAATGTTTATCTTCTCGGCGATGTCAACTTTATTCTAATAAAATGGAAATTATTTATTGTTTAATAGTTCTATTCTTATATGTATATATATGTCAGATAGTTTGATGATACATGTACGCAGGAAACAAGCTGTCATTGACACGGTTTATTATCGTAATTCTCATGTGCGCACTATATCGAGGAACGTAGACATTATCTTCGACATGTATCACTATTGATATTAATCTGCTTGCCGGCTCGACACAGCAAAATTATATCACGCGTCGCGCGTGACGTCGGTTTTCACCCCTTGATTTAGCTAAAGCCTGCAATTTTCTCGCGATCGCGGAATTCTGACAAGTGATCGATGTAAAATGTTGAAAAACCCGCTATTTCCGATTGCGATCGATGGTCCTCCACCTTCCAATCATGTACTCTGAAACATCGATTTGCGATGGAAGTGGATAAGAGAAAAGATACGATTTCTATATATTCTTTCTCTGATCCTTCGAAGATCTCTCTATCAGACTTTCCTCGTAATCCGTCCTAGAATTTTCGAGGCGAATGTTGGAAATTAACGAGGAGAAGTTGCCGCATCAACGTTTTCCCAGATGGACCCAGGGGCTGAGCTTAATTAACTCTCGTGTGATCGTGGATTTTGCGTTATTGAGCGCGCGCGTAGGTAGTTAGTTTTCAACCCAAATTACCTTCTTGTCGATCTTTTTGATACCACGCGCGCTCGCGCATCATTCATAAATATTAATTATTTTCTTGCAATTCTCCGCGTTGTATATTAAAAATTCAATTTATTGAAGCAGACACGTAACGTTCGAGCCAACTTTAGAGATTGGATTACCGAGCAAGTTTTAAGAGAGACTAGATGAGCGATGAGATCTGGATAAAAAATGGGGAATGCAAGAGACAAAAAGGTACAAGATAGTCCACCTGAGTCTCGTCTGGCAATAAAAGTGAGGTCCATACAAAAAGGGATCCGTCACTAGGTGCATGTGACGTGCCACCTGATAGGATTCAATTTCCTGTGAGCTTCGTATACGTATATATAGCATGTAAACTCGAGAGACCAGATGGCGTAGAACGTCAAAGACGGGAAATATTTAATGCAATGAATCTATCTCCATAAAGGAAACCTTTTATATAATATGTCATAATTATTCTCTCATACCAATTTTCGATACGACGAAACAAATATGCTTAAATTATCGAATAATAATGCACCAATTCATTGCTGCATCGATTAAATTGAAAATAAAGAAATTTCAATATACATAATTTTTTATTTGAATTACTAGATAATTTTATTGACTTACGAATAAATATGGCACACAATATATATTTTATTCAGACCGATATATTTTTCTCGCCTACATCGCTTCAGGTGGGTAAAAGGGGAACTTGGGAATCAATATCTCAAGTAAGAGATTTTTCCTAAATAAGTCTTGGCAATTGCTAAGTAAATTTCGTGCCTTGTGCACAATTATAAGACAGCGAAAAATTAAATTTTCGGTCTTCACGCACATACATCCGCATTCGGCTCTCATAGTTTTTTTTTATTTCCAATGTGATTTATCAATATAGAGAGTCTTTAAAAGAGAGAGAGAATTTTTAGTATTATATATTTTATTCCTTTACTAGGCAACATAAGCGTGCGCAAATATATGAATATATGTAATAAAAATTTATTCAATTTTTGAAACTGTTTTCTCATGTTCGTGCTTTTTTTAATATAATTTTGTATTACTTACTTCATTCGAAAATTTATTTATGTATTCCAGAATACATTTTGCAATGAAATAAAGTAATCTAAATTTGTGCGCAGATTTCACCTTTCGTGCTACAAATAGGATGAGGAAAGTTTTTCAGACGAAAACGCTGATATATGTATACATATACTATATATATAGGAATATATAGTATACCATGAATCTCTCCGACGTACTTTCGAACAGTCCTCGAAAGTATTTGAATGTATTTTGTATAACATCGACATTAATTTAGTTGAAAATGAAATTTTCAATTTGACGAAATATTTAATATAGACATTCTTTGATTTCGCGCCATTTTCACGGTTTCGCATTTATTTGGAATTTAAATCAGGTTTCCGTCTGATAAAATTTGTCATATAATTGCACATCACGTAGGAGGCCAAGCATTTCTTAAATCTTATCAAAGATAAAATAATTTGAAGTATTAATTAATCGTTTAATTACAGTAATTAAAGCTAGCAGCTTAATGAAAAGCGGTTTACGTGTTAAACTTTCTCTCGGTGAGGCAAAAATAAATTTCATTGAAATCAATTGTGTTATGTATACAATTATATATTAATTGTTAAGTAATTAAATGTTGATAAGTGTGTTTGTCTAAAATGTGATTATTGTAGCGCATGTTATATGCAACAGCATAAACGCCGCAAGATATGAAACTTGGTCGTTACAGAACTATCAAAGTTTGAGTTGTATCATGCTTATAATAGTACATCGCGTAGTATTTACCAAGATATTACATAACATATATGTAAACCAAATCAGTAATCAAAGGCGAAACTTGCAGAGAGCAAAACGTTTACGTCATTTAATGTCAGATACAAATTTGCATATCAAATGCATGAATGAAAGTCGTTCGATTTTATATGTAATTATATGGATGCAAATGGCTTGAAATTATGCATGCAAAATTCGCATTGCGATTAATCTTAAAAATATTATTACATTCAGAAGGTGCAAACTGCTGTAAATGCTGCAAAAAAAAAATAGAGAACGTATATATTATAACTATACTATTTCCTGTTGTACCGCATCTAACAGATAGGTAAATAATACGTTGAATTCCTTCTAAACATCTCTGCCTGTGCGAAGTTTACATTAATAATTTATAATTTGCAACGGAATAATTTTTCACGGTAAACGTGACGCTGCAATATTTTTATAATTGTAAATTTAAATCGCAGAATCCGCTTCATCAATGATTTTTCATCCTTCCTGCTCCTCTTTTCCGCTATCTCTCTTTCTCTCTCGTCCACGATGATTAATCACCGTGTAAGAAAGTACGCGGTAGACGATATCTGCATAGAGTTTATTTAAACGATTAACCTCGCTTTATATACAGCCAGGAAACATATGCGACCCTAGTTCTCTCGAATGTTATCTAATGCATACATTAAATGTCGCGTTGATGATAGCGAACAAGCGCGGTGCAAAATGCGACGATACACATATTTGTTCGCATTTATCTGGTTTATCTCGCTCCTCGCGTCATCAAAATGCAACGGATATTAGAGCATCGATAACGCGAAACACACGCGCTTTATTAGCATCATTACGCGAGTCATCCGGAGGTCACCTGATGACCGCCACATGGGACAAAGAAAACAATGGGAGCTCGAGGAAGAAAATTACAAGATTCCGCGTCACGCCCGCCTACATCGTTCAACACACACGTGCATTTATTCATCGATCTGCATTATACCTCGCGAAGGCGACGCTTTTGCGAGAACTACGAGAAACGTCGTTATTTTTCCACCTTGCTTATCAGTTAGACTAGTTCGAAGATTTATTAATTTGTCGCATAAAAGATTTTAGTTTTCTGCGAAGCGATCCGAAACACAAGGCTAAAAAGAAATTGACGACATATAAATGTATAGAAGATTGAAGTAGAAGAAAAATTAATGTACGTCTATATATGAATCGATTTTTAAATAATGATACCTAATACTGATATTTATTACAAACTAGATTTATGTATATTAGAGTTTGATTTTATAAAGACAAAATCACGGGATATTTCTGTTAAACAGAAAAGCAGAATAAAAATTTGAATTGAACTGGATATCTCCAGTTTATCTCAACATGAAGATTGATTTATGACTCTATATATTAACTAAATATTTTTTGTTTTGTCTTTTTATAGACGTGTTATAGAGTTCTAAATTTTTAAATAAAAAATGATAATAATCACTGTGCAAAACACGCCTCTTTAAAGTTTAGAAGCTAATATGCGAGAGTTGGGGATGGCAATATTGTCTCTTTAATGTACAAACATTTGATAGCATAGTTACGTCCAGAATTAGTACTAAGTTTGTTTGTCCAATAGAATGTGTATGTATCTTTGGTGCAAAGTTTATAGGATCATAGAAATAAAATGATTATGTTAAACAGAACCATCTCAAAGCTATGTTTGTCAAATTAAAAATTAAAACAACGGATAAGAATGGTAATGATGAAAGAAATACGGTAGTAATATGGTTCGTAGAATTTTGGCCAAGCGTTAGATTATCAGGAAACACAAAAGTGATGCGCAAACAATTGATTTTATATCGGAGACGTCACCTTCTTATATAGAACCTTATACAAACATCTTTCAAATATAGCTGTGCAGATATAGAGAATAGATGGATGGTTGTGAACAGGAAGTAGATTATATTTGCAGAGATGAGTTGTGTTGTCAGTGCTAATAGACTTCATCATAATAATCACGCGTAAATACTGCTGACTATTTCAAGCTTCTCGTATATTTTTACTTACAAGATCTTTTAGACTTTATTTTAATCTTTGAAGGACCATTAGACGTAACTAAGGGACTCCAAAAATTTTATTGTCTTTATCGTTTTTACAATTTTTAATCTTTTTATTGAAACTTTGACTATGTGACTATTTTGTAGCATAGAATAAATAAATTCTTTTATGTTACAGTGAAAAAATAGCACGTTTTTGAAAGTTATTTCAATTTAGCGAGGATCGGTGAATAGGTTTATTTTTTATTAAATTTTAAATTTTTCAAAAATTTAAAAAGGTTTTTAAATTTTTAAAAATTTTTGTAAATTTTTAATTTTATGGAAGAAACACGAGAGTGGGTACACACATACATATACGTGACATTTTGAGCGATAATATTTTATGTGAAAAAAGTGTGCAAATTGGCAAATTGCTTCTTCGCCATATTATTTCGCTAATTAGGATGGTTTTTCAATTATTGCTCCTCATAAAGGAAGCTTAACTTGTCACAATTTAATTTCGCTATTGGCACGAGTGTGAATATACAAAACGTGGGTCGATTTTCTCTATATAGCCAAAAAATTTTAATGTAATTTTCTGATGTTTAATTTTCAGATTTATAGTATTAATCCTCTTTCGAATTTATACAATAATCACACCAAATTTTTATCATGTTTTACAAGAATTACAAACGATTTTGAAAAACGTCCTGTTTTTTACTATAACACAGAAGGATTCATCTATTCTATGCTGAAGCTTTTTATATTTATGGATTGTACATAAAAATTCTGCTGGGGGACTCTAGTTATCCCTTTACAGTTCTTTCCATAAATATTTGTCACGTGTTCCTCCAAGGGTTAAAATTGAAAAAAAGGCAGAGATGAGAAATGGGTATTTTCCCGAGTAGCTTGAATTTCTACCGCGAAATTTTCATTTTTTAGAATTCGGGGAAGCTTATATATGCGCCGACTTATATCGGCTGAAATAAAACAGGGTGGAAAAAAGCAGGTACGGGACCCTGGGCGATACACATTTAGCGTTATCTTCGAAGTATAATCGAGGCAGCTACGAGGGTTAATAAATCGTCGATCGGCGAAGGGTGAGAAATATGTTATTTTGCGTAAGAAGTGACGCGTGCACGAGGATGGCGCGAGAAACATAAAGACGTGCAGCTCGTTCACGATTGGCCACCGTGAGGTGTGCGGTATCCCGGACTAGTCCGGAGAGAGAGCCGGCCTGGTTTCAGTCAGCGGCGCAGAACCGTCGCGTACGCGTCGCTGATGCCGGGCATCACGTCGACCGTCACTACTTGCCGAGATCGCGAGAATCCGCGCGCCAGCGATGTGAAATATTTCATTCAATTTTATAATACCAATGAATAAAAATATGGACACTCTGCTCGCATATTATCAAATAAATACGTGGCGTTCCTCGAGAATTATATTTCAATATAGCTATTGGATTCATTTGCGAGAAACAAAGTTTTAATCAACTTAGGAAATGAATATCATATTTTTGTGATGTAAAAATATTAATATTTTTTATTAATTGTGTGTTATCTCTGTCTTTCACTCTCTCTCTCTTCTCTTTTTCTCTCTTCTAACATTATAAATTTAAAAAATATAATTTTTTTCAACTGTACAATATGTAATTGTAGGATATATAATTATAAAGTTATACGCCTCTCGTTAAGGACATTTGCAATGTAAAGTACCTAGATCCTTATAGCGATTAGAGAATGGACAGAAAAGTCATTTGTCGGTGAGAATTATATTAAACTTTGATCTAATCGTTCTTCGTCAGGTGTATTCAACTATGTAAAACTTGATAACTAAACTTTAAAAATTATGATACATGCTAATGTTTAAGCGAAAGACTTAGCTAATATGTAATAATAACCGGTAAAATTAACATTATAAAAAATTTACAATTAACAAATTAAATAATGCAATTAATATTTATAAAAATCTTTTAAATTAAACTTGTATGTTTTATCTTATTATCGTGTATGTTTGATTGACATTGTGTAAACTGAAATATCGCTCTTTACGTAACGTTATAAAAAATTTCCTCTGAAATATTACGCAGCGATGCAAGAAACGAAATATCAATATTTATTGGCATTTATATATGCAATTTGAAAGCCTCAATCTCGTTTACAGACACGATTTGAGTCCTGATGGGATGTAAAGTATAAATTATGTAATTTATCGGTGGGTTTTGTGCGACGATTCATTTTCGGCCTATCGTATAAAATTCCAATATACGGATACCATTTCCGTTTTATTGAATAAAACAGATGGGAAAGAGGTGGAAAGTTATATACACCCGTATTGGAAGCAAAGGCAAAATTATTGCTTTGCAGTCAATCGAATAAAATTTGAATCAGCATCCCCTCCCCGAGGAGATCAAACATAATTAAGCTTCCTTAATTTTTTATCAAAAAAGCGACGACGATATTCGTTACTGTGATGCTAAAACGCAAAACGGACAATAAGAAAAATTCTTCTTTCAAAGTGACCACGTTTTAATTGCTTTAAAGAGGTAAAGGTTTCTTTTCGCGATTTTTTAAACGCAAGAATAACTTTATCATAAAAAAGATCACACTTAATTAAATGATGTATATTGTTAAAATTTAATTTTTAGCACACAATTCCTAAATTAATTTTAATACAATGAAAATGTTCGTGGACGATTAATTTGAACGTTTTTCGTGGTGTAAAATCTGGAATATGAAATCGTGATTGAACTAACATCATCTTTGAAGTGAATAATTGTTACTTTAAACGATCTAAAACATTCACAAATGTGTCTGTTATGTTGGGTTGAATAAAAAGTGAACACGATTTTACGAGCAGCACGAACTTTTTAACGGGGGTGTCGATAAATACTGGCATTGGAATTATATTGGTGAGTGAAAGAGATTCATGCAAAATGTACACATTTATATTTCATTTTTATATAAATATTTTATTCGTGTAGAATTACTATTTTAAATTAATTCTTTCTTAAATTACACTGTGTTAAAAATATTGTCAATGAAATTACTATAAATTATTACACTATTTAATTATAACATGGAATGATATCGATACTTTTTATCTTCAAATTAAAAAATATAGTATAAAATATTAAAAAGTGCATATTATATTTTTTGCATATAAAAAGTTGTTTTTTTTGGTATCACTTGCACGCTTATAAGTACCATTTCATGTGCAGCATACTGTTGCAGCAGTTTGTGGCTATTGGTGAAGTTTAATTGAACGAACAGCAAAGGCAGAAAAGTGGAAAAATACGTAATTAGTTGATACTAATTATGATTATTATAATTATTATTATTATATTAGTTAAATAATGGATTTAAAAATAAAATAGATTAATATGAAAATATAAAAGCAAAAAACAAAGAAATATGCTTGAATAAATTTGGATCATGTGAGACTGATTCGCTGCTGCAGCATGCTGCATATGAAAAGACATCTTTTAACTACTCGCGTTAAACTATAATGATTTTGTATATCTGCATCACATATCATATATTATATATGAAATACACATTACGCAGATTATGATCATATAATATATATTTGCTCAATATAAGATGTCAATATTTAATGTTGTAATGCACATTATGGGTCGTTATTAATTTTAAATATCGCACAGGATCAGCTATACAGAAATGTAATTTACATATAATAGTCTTCCTGTAATACCTGTAATACGTATATGCTAATCGACATTATTACTGTGCACGAGGAAATGATTAGCCTTACCGTTTTATGATGACTAATAGCGAATTTAGTCGAATGCATTGCGGAACGCGTATGTATATATCGCAAAAATATATTAACCATTAAAACACTTAGAATAAATTGTGGTTATAATAAATAATGCCTCGTATATATTAAATGGTATCATTAGTGCACCATTTACATTTTACGCGTGTTACGCTTTATATATCAATTTGTAGCCTTTATCATGCAAACTAAATTCGCAACAAAAAGAGAGGCTAAACTGAAATATCATATACAAATAATTAATGTGTGTGTCGAATGATATTATTTTCGTTCCCCTCTTCGAGAAACACGAAGCTTATTCCCAAGTTGCTCAGAGTTGCTTCTCTCTGAAAGTCAGGGAGATCAGAGATTGACGAATATATCAAAGACTGATTGATGCCTCGAGATGAAAATGCGATTTACTATTCGTCGAGCTTATCAGCCATATCTCGTCATCTTCTTTGCGGCTTTGACATTTAATATAATTTATAGCCACTGATATCGGACCAACTCCATCTAAAGAAGTGTATTAATATAGTGAAATACATTGTCAACTACAAGTAAAAAAAGATTAATAGCCAATCCGTCTCGCGTTCATTTAGACATTGATCGATATTGGTCAATATTAATATCGAAAATATATATCATGATCAAATATAATTGTTACTAGAATTTATTGCATAATTCTAATGGACTTTGAAACAAAACATTTTGATTTGACATATTCAATAATTAATAGATATTCTCTTTGATATTCTGTTAATTAATTAAGTACCATTATTTGCTATTTAAATGCTAACTCAACTTTGTTAAGAGATGATGGTGTTTGCCAAATCGGCTATTGAAATCTATGTTTGAATTGCTTATGCATATACATTACAATATGCAATAATATTCTTGTAGTTATAATACAGCGGGAAAAAATAATTACGCATGAATAGAAGAAATTAACCCTGCGGCCAAAACGTCATGGCCAGAGATAATTTTGACAGCAGCTCTTCGAATTTCATCGCTAATTATTTCGATATAGCGTGGGTTTGAAAATATGAAAAATTGGTCAAATTATTAATAATTTATCGGTTAATTAATTATTTATAATGTAAAAATGAGTTGCAATAATGTCCGGAAAAAATATGAAAAGATGAATAAACTTTTGTTCTGTCAAATAATGACTTAAGTTATAAAATATTAGGGGCGAAGTTTGGGACAAGCTCGAGAAATCAGGTAGATTTACGTTCCAGGCTCTTTAATGGAACATTATATCTTATGAAATATATGCACCGTTATACATCCATTTTAAATGTCAGACACATTCTCTGCTCAATAAATCATCGATTATTCCCAGCTTTCGATCAATTCGTATGATTGAAAGTTGATCAGAGGACTAAATTGTATGATAAAATGATCCACGTTTAGTTCGGATGATTTATACGGCACGCGATTAATATTATTATAGAGAAATACGCAGAACTATTAATAACATGTGATTGAATTTCAAATGTCACCGCAAGTTTCAGATTTATTCGGTTTAATGGCGTTTATGTTACGCATTCGATTTAGTGCCAATTATCACGTGTATGAACTAATAAGGCAATCATTTTCATTCACAATCGTAACTCCGTATAATATTTGATTACATTTCTAAGTTTTATTACAGAAATACATATATAAGTGTAATTTACACACATCTCTTATATACTGTATAACATTTCTTTTATTTTATTAGGAATTATTCTGTAACACATACAATTTTACTATGAAATTTACTTATTAAAGAGACTTAAGAGAAAAAAATCGAATAAAAAAAGAGGGAGAAAAAGAAAGCGATAAAGAAAAGAATAATAGAGTTGTGGGATCGAAATGAAAGAAAGAGTGTACATCGGGAACGAGATACACATAAAGTATGTATAAACGTATATCGAGAAGCAGCAACATTTATTTTATTATAAATTATTCTGTAACGCATAATTTTACTATAAAATTTATTTATTAAAGAAATTTAGGAAAAAAAATCGAATAAAAAAAGAGGGAGAGAAAGAAAGCGATAAAGAAAAGAATAATAGAGTTGTGGGATCAAAATGAAAGAAAGAGTGTACATCGGGAACGAGATACGCATAAAATATGTATTCTGTATAAACGTATATCGAGAAGCAGCAACACCGTATAGATATACATACATATTCTCGCTTACTCTGCGTATTACATAAGAATCGAATGACGAGGGGATGAAAAAGAAGAAAAAAGATGGCACGATACGTTTCATACGCGTATTTTTCCTTTCTTCCTCGAGCACTTACTGTCGCAGTTTTCACCATGATTTCGTGATCGTACGATACAATGCATACGTAACAATGTCTCTGTTGCGGCCAGTGTTGTGCATAGATTTAAAATTAGCTAGATAAAGATAGGATAAAAATATGTAAATTCATCTTAGATAAGATAAAGATCCAGATCATTTTCTAGATATTAATTTTGAAGATTTCTTATATAAACACAGTTATAAAAAAAATGTAAATTATAAAAAGGATATAAAAATATATGCATTCATATATATTTTTATTTATAAATTTTATTACATATATTTATATTCATAAATTTTTATCGCTTACTGCTTAAGTTGTACTATTTAACTATTTTTATGTGCTATGATTCTAAACCAAAATGATCTGAAAATTATTCTAGATAATTTAATAAAGATAATACTTTTTTCATCTAAGATGCAGATAAATAGATAATACATATTTTTATGATCTATATAAAAATAAGATGACACCAAAGTTTGATCTAGATCTATATAATTTTATTTAGATAACAGCAAACACTGGTTGCGACGCAAGACCTGACCCAATCCAGCTGAAGGCGGTAAGAGGTGTATACAAATAATAGGATGTATCTTCGAAACATTTATCGCCTCGTTGCATTAGTAAACCTGACACTACTACATTGTTTACGTCTTTCGTGAGTTTACTCGATTCCCATCCGGCGGTCTGGGAGGACGAGATGAAATGTGTCCCCAAGACGATACGTTTCCTCGATAGATATATCAACTATCCTCTTCACTTTGCACTGTCCACGTCACTTCCGCGAGGAGGTTCATTAAAATTTCGTGGAAATTTCCATATCTCATTCGAAATGAAAATTTCAAATAGAGTTCGCGGATATTCCTCTTCGAACAATGGAATCATTTTCTAGTAAAATGCACATAAAATTTTACATAAAGGCTCTCGTTTGTTAAAGGAGCGTTTACCTTTTTGCGCGAGACGCTTTTCATACAGATAAAATTGATGTCAACTCTTTCCTCGGAAGAATCAACAAAAAGATCGCAATTTTCCTCAGTCTTTCCTTCGTGTGTGTGCGTGTGGGTGTGTGTCTAAAAAGGCCAGGGAGTCTCGTGCATTTTCTCGACCATTGTTAAATTATAAAAATTTAATTGAAAAAAACACTCTTGTGTGTAATATTCAATTTTTTCCCGTCTACATTTTTTCTCGTCTTGTACATCAAAAATTCATATGTACGTTCAAGTTGACGTATACATAATATTCTGCTTAGATAATTTTCAAAACTATACTAGATAAAGATGAGACGAAAATATAAATATGTAAATTCAGTTTGGATAAGATGAAGATGATTTTATTTTAAATATATCTAGATAAAAGTTAAAATTATATGGCGATTCTTCTAGATAATTTCCAGATAATTATTTTTAAGACCGCTTATGTAAACGCAGTTATTAAAAAAAAATGTAAATTACAAAAGGGATATAAAAATATATTTATACTTTAATTTGTAAGTTTTTATCACTTACTGCTATATAATTTTATTTAGATAACAGCAAATATTGCGTGGACATGTTATTTCGATCCTCGATTTTTTTCGAAACAGTTCAGAAATTTTCAGTGTCGTGTCGCGTCGTAAATATGTTACAGTATACAAATTGGAGTGAAGAAGTATGGTCTCTCTCTCCCAGCCGTTGGCAACAATTGTGAAAACTGTCTCAGACACCGAGGCGCGTTTAACAATTTAACGTGTTAGCTCGCGAACAACCGGGTCTCTCTCTCTAAGGGCTTCGGTTAACCTTCGAGTTGAATAGTTCGGGGACGAAAATTTATCGCGAATATTCTTCGCGTTATACTCCAATTAGAGACTCGCTCTCTGCTCTCACATGGGGATGCTCTAATGTTAAAATCGATTGTTTGAAAATTTTAATTCGTTGCTTAACTTCGCTCGGGAATTTGTTGCGAAAAGTTCTCGGCTTTGATTGATTTATACACGATTGAATAAACGAAAAATATATAACACGCGCGAAACGGGATTATTAATTGTCGCGTAAATAGTTGACGGCTTTTCATCCGTGTATAATCGATTTTCTATAATAATTATTAGTATAAAATAAATATTAAATATAATATTTCATCGTTTAGTATCACTACAAAGACTAAATATATCAATTTAATCGAATATGGCTGTAATTATATGCGGTTATTGATAGATTTTCATATTAAACGGTCTATTGTTTAATAGTATCAAAGCAAAATGACGGCGGGATAATTATTACAAAATATATACATATAAGTGATATGAAATTATGTAATACATCATCGAACGGCTCGGATCGCCGATAACAGATATTGCAAATAAATTATATGGATCATGTTGAAAACGCACGAGTATACAAACTAAACTCGTGCGATTTTCACTGGGCAAAAATTTCATTCGCAATTCTATCGTCACGCAACGGTACATTTGTTATTACTGCATCTCGCGAGCCCTGTCGTGCTGATATCATCCTGTACATGCATAATACTCTCGTTAGACTTTCCGAAAATTAGGTCAAATATCGCGCGCCTGCTTTTATCCTGTATATACATGAATTTCACGCGATTTCGATTTTCTCTTTTCTCGGGAATGAGCGCGAAAGCTAGCCGAATGTTGATATAACTTTATACGTCCTGTCATACGCGATTTTCATACATCGCAATTCGCTGAATATCGATTGATAGGTACTCGAAAGAGTATCACACAAACGATAACCGCAAATGATAAATCGAATATCCGTGGCACGTCGCACTGCTGTATATTGCAATTTGTAAGTGAAACTACGGTAGACAGAACGAAAATCGAATGGAAAACATCGTGAACGGAATCTTTCATTAGTCTAGATACAAAAAATTCACTTTTTATTTTATAGGGTGTATCGCTATTTTATAGCGTGTAATCTTCGATGTAATCTTAAAGTGCGATACATGGAAGAAATAATTATATGTATATATTTCTGATATAAATTTGACTCTCAAAGGTAGATTATAAATGCGATAAGATATTTGTTTGCAACATCTGCGCGTGACATCTTTTGCAATTTTTGCCACTATACTTACGTATAAAAAATATATGTATATATTAATGCATATATATGGAATATCCTTTTGAAACATTGTGGAGAAAAAGGATTGAGAAGAATAATTATTTATTATAGCCACGGGCTAATGAATATTATACACAGTTTAAGTTAAAATTACAAAAGTTATTTTTAACAAAGAGAGACCTCATAATGTATAAATATTTCTCACTCTTAAATAATTGAACGCAGTCCGAAAGAACAATTATATATAGGATTGAAAAGAATAATTATGTATGATAGCCGGATTGGTCAATATACAGTTTAAATTAAAAATGCAAAAAATTGCTATTTTTAACAGAACTCATGATAAACGTGTTTTTACTCTTAAATAATTTTGCACAGTCAGTACATCTAAAAGATTGAATTTTTTTTGTAACAATATTCTATTGCTGATGAAAAAACGTGAAAAGAAGGATTATAGTTAACATTTTATTTTCATTTTAACATTTATTACATCTCTTTCAGTTACTTCATTTAACTATTTTTATACCCGCGTATATTTATTTTTTTGAAACACTCATTTCTTTGTACAAAGAGATGAAAAAAGTTATTTAAATAACGTTGATTGTCCGCTGTGTAATTTTACAGCAAATCAAAGAAATGCTTGAGAGAGCTTTAGTTGTGCAAACAAAAATGTATAAAATGATCTAAAAATGGTCAAGAGATTCGCGAGAGAATATATACTACAGTACAGAATACTACAGAATGTACTTTCTTGTAAAAGTATCTAGTAGAAAAACGAAAAAAGCGTATAAAAATTGAAGAAGATTCACGAGTTACTAAACAAGAATGCCAAGAGACTTTGCTTGATTCTGATGGATTTTCTATTAAAATACGAGAGAATCAATATTATTTACTTTGCGAATACAAATTTTGTACAATCCGCTTTACGCATTTTAAATCTGCCGGCAAAAAAGTAATTTAATATGCTTTTTTCTTACAATATTACTTCACAATATTATTTTCCGATAGAAAAAGATTCCATTCGCCATTAAATCGCATCATACTTTTTACTCATAGAATCAGAAGTGAAATTGTAGAGATGTACTATATAATTACAATAATTATACTATAGTAATAATAATAATAATTAATTATAATTAAAAATTTGTAATACATATAAATTTTCTTTGATAAAGCTATACATTATTTCACATAAATGAATTCTGTATTTTATTACAACATTTGAATTGCAATTGTTTTTTGAATTAGAAGTAAAATTACAGAGTTGTATCATAATCATAGTTATTATAACAATTATATATTACAATTAAAAGTTTATAATATATATAAATCTTTTCTGATAAAACCATACACACATTATTTCACATATGAATTCTGTATTTTATTAAAAAATTCGAATTAAATGTTGATGGTTAATATTGAAAAGAAAATAAATTAATAATAATATATAAATGAATAATGAATCGTGTATTCGTCTTTACAATACTTTATTCTTTTTTTGAAAAATTGGTAACATATATCAACAGATATGAGAGCGAACTTTCATGGTTTTCGAAATACATATGACAAATTCGCACAGGCAGTATCGTAAAGAATGCTCATTGATCGTAATGGTATCCTCTATCTTCAACGAATGTGCTTCATCGACCTGACACTATCGGTAATATGGCGGAAAATTGAACGAGTGAGAGAAAGAGTTACCTACAATAAGCGCACACAGCATATTTCTTACGTTTCACGAAGAATGGAGCAGAGAAAAAGAAAACGTGTAAGAAAGAACAGCGATATAAGACTAGATAACGCAAAACTTTTTTATCGCGAGAACAGCTATGCAGCACAAGTTTTTTTAGAGTGTAAAGAATCGTGAAGAAAATGTAGTATGAGGAAAGAACGAATAAAGAAAAATTCATATTTGCCCGAGGACGCCTGTTTTCGCACAATCCACTAACTGAAGGAAAAAACTGTTTTATTTATGACTTATGATGCGTCTCGTTCTTTTGAGCATGAACTTAAACATTATTACAGTCATTCTCCGACGAGAGTAAAGTTTAGTAATATTAACATTAAATTGTGAGCAGACTTCTCGAATATATAATATTGCGTTCTACTTGATAATACGAGTATCATTACTTATCTTTATCAAAGATTTATATACAATATTACAAGCTTTGAATGCTTGCAATATATAATTGTTGCAATAACTATAATATTATAGTAAAATTCTATAATTTTGTTTCTCATTTATTTCTGAGAGTAAAAGGTATGATAGTTCTTTAATGGAGGAAATAGAATCTTTAATGGAGAAAATAGAATTTCTTTCTATCAGAAAATAATAAAATGATGTAGAAAATCGAACGATAAAAATCACGATGACATAAACGGAGAATTAGAAGCTGCGATAAATAACGCGTGAACTTGAAGTTTTTAATAACATAGAATCTGTAATCTATGCGCGAGGGAAAGTAATAATTAGTTGAGATGAGACAGAGAGAATGATTAAAGGACGGTGGCTGATTAAAGGGACGCGTATATCTATATTTTGCTTTTCGCGGATTTTTAAACAAACTATCGAAATCATACAGATGAGATCATTAATATTTCTATCATAGAACAAACATTATTTATAAAAAGATTTTTTTCCTTTTTGTATTTTACCTATTTTATTTTTTAAAATGGTTTTAACTTCTTTTTCACCATGTAATATAAATATTAATTTCACTTCTGACAGTCTTGAAATCTTTTTCAAAATTTTATGCTTTGTAAAATTATAAAAATAGACGGCATAAATAAATTGTATGATAAAAGAAAAGTTTTCTAATTCATATAGGGATATTTATGCTAAACGTATCATTTATGGAAAATAAAAATGTAAATGCATGCATAATTTATCTGTTAAGCATATCATTATTTTATAGAATTATGACCTTAATAAATCATGTTTTTTCTTTACAGATATATGGAGAGAGCAATCAGAAATAGAAGACCGCCTATAATAAAATTACAATCATGTGGATCGCAAAAGTCATTATTATATAACACACTTTTCGATTTATTTTAACAAACCTAAATTATCTCATTGTCAGTGCCATACATATATATACATATACGGATATTTTTTGAAACTTTTTAAATTAATATTTGATAACAACAGTTTCGCATTGTTGCTCAAAACCAAAATTGCCGCAATAATTGATGATTGTCGAAGCAATTCGCAGTGACAAATAAATTATTCGCGAAAAACCCGCGGGACAAGGAACCGCAGAACTATAAAAGATATATGTTACAAATTGTGGCAAAAAATTGTTGACTTTATCGTGCATGGCAGTTCTCAACCTAAAGCGACATTAGGAAATTAACGAGCGACGAACGGGAAGCTATAGTCAGCAGTGCAGTTATGTGACAAGAGTTTGATAAAGCGACGTTTCGAAAAATGATGTGTAACGTCCGGCACGGGATACCTTCATCGATATAAAAGCTTGAGAGCCGATTTAGGGGTGAAAACGACGAAAGAGGTAAAATCGACGAGCTCGCGACAAGAAGAAAATGTCGATTCAAGAGCGCAACCTGTCCGAAAACCTGGTCTCCACCGAATATTTCGGTGCCTTGGTGATCGGTGACGGCTCGCCGATCGTTACCGAGCTTCCGCGGTTCTCCAGCGTCACTTCCGAAATTACCAACGTCACCACGCCAGTCATTTCGCAATCGTCGAGTCAGGACAGCCTACTGGAGAACCTCATTATACCGTTGTACGGGACGATCTTCTTCCTCTCCATTGTCGGAAATTCTTTGGTGCTCATCACCCTGGCGAGGAACAAGCGGATGCGGACAGTGACAAATGTCTATCTGCTAAATTTGGTGAGCCCTTGCACTGTCTACTTGACTTCTATTAAATAAAGAATACTGATGTCTTCCACATAAATAGCGCGTCTAGTCGCAGAGGATCTATTAAACTTTAATATTATATATTTATACAATAGCGTAAATTCATTCCGTTTTATTTATATGTCTACTTAACACGAGAATTATTCTTTCCATTTAGTTTAGATCAAATACGTGTCGTAATATATTTTTTATGAAATTAATAATAAACTCTCAAATAGTACTACGATGCAGAATGTGCAGCGATGCATATAATCACGTCTCTCTTTCCTGAAAAAAAAAATATGAACACGGTTCTTTATTCATGAATATGCAGCTCTATCGTTTAAAATTCACACGATGACATGCTCCGTTATTGGTGTGGAAAATATTAAAGGAATTGTTCATCGAAGAGTTCACTGTCAGCGCTTGATTTAGGTTCTCATATAATATTTTGCAAACTGGATGCGGCGACTGCACGCTGAGTTATGCAATTGGTTATTTGTGTGCCGGCAATATTGCTGACAACAACGATTCGATAGTATTGATGTGTTTCGTAATCGACATTAATCGAATCTAATTAAGCTACATAAAATATATATAATAAAAAATAAAATTTGGTTCGTGTAAAATTAAAATAAGTTATAAATTAAAAGGCCAACTTAACGAGCTAATTAATTAGGTGTTAACAATTTATTCTACGTCATGAAAATAATACAAATGATAATTAGTAAACGTTTCAATTGTACGACAGTCTTTATCAATACAAATATCGCTTTGCTAACATATCTATAAATTAAATAATTTGGAAAGACAGAATTTATCATACATGTAAAATATATAGACTTATAATATGAAAAAACGCAGTATAACACATTACAATTGTTGGCTTGAATTACGGTTGATCGTTCGAATTAGTCGTTAAAGAGCCTAATCCCGAACATCAGATTTTTGTAATTCTTATTAAATAAACGTCTAATTTTGTAATCCATGATGTGATAATGATACGTAATACGATCTATGTCGAGACGATAAAAAATTCTTTAAAATATTTCTTGTTAAAAAACATTATAAACAATGTGTACTTTATGAGAAGCAAACTCAATATCTGTGATATCTGTGATATTGAGTTTGCTTCTCATAAAGTACACATTGTTTATAATGTTTTTTAACAAGAAATATTTTAAAGAATTTTTTATCGTCTCGACATAAATCGTATTACGTATCATTATCACATCCTGTTACGTATCAATATCACAGATATTGAGTTTGCTTCTCATAAAGTACACATTGTTTATAATGTTTTTTAACAAGAAATATTTTAAAGAATTTTTTATCGTCTTGACATAGATCGTATTACGTATCATTATTGCATCATGGATTACAAAATTAAATGTTTATTTAATAAGAACTACAAAAATCTGATGTTCGGGGGCTCTTTAACGACTAATTAGAACGATCAGCCGTAATTCAAGCCAACACTTATAATGTGTTATACTGCGTTTTTTCATATTATAAGTCTATATATTTTACATGTATGATAAATTCTGTCTTTCCAAATTATTTAATTTATAGATATGTTAGCAAAGCGATATTTGTATTGATAAAGACTGTCGTATAGTTGAAACGTTTACTAATTATCATTTGTATTATTTTCATGACGTAGAATAAATTGTTAACACCTAATTAATTAGCTCGTTAAGTTGGCTTTTTAATTTATAATTTATTTTAAGCTACATAATTTCCTGGCACTCTCTCTCGTCCAAAATGTACATTTTTGTATATGTTATTTATTATTTTTGTCCTAATTTATTTCAAGCCGAGTTTATCGCTGCTGTCAAAATTGTTATTTTGATTGCATTACAATGCTAATTAATTTTCTTATCGTGTTACAATGATAATTAATTTTCTATTAGTACGATAATATTAATATTTTTTATAAAGATAGATGTTATTTCTTTAATCTTGCAAAAAATTTCATTAAAAATCTGAACTATATATATATACCTATACATATATCGACTATCTCGATTACTACGTTATAAATGTTGCTGCTTTAACACATAGACTCCGTGTGTAAACTCATTTTGCAAAGCTAGGAAGCAAAGGAGCAAAATGAAACAAAAAATAATGTCCGAAATGCATAAATATACAAATTCGTATTTCTGATTGTGTAAAAAAAGATTTTAATATTTCTCGTTTGACAATGATTTGCGCGAATAGTATATTATTTAAAACTAATGAGCCAGTGTTTCATCTATAGATTCAGCTGAACAATTTTTCACATCAGATCCGAGATAAAAATGTAATGTTGCGTGCTCCACGTAATATTTCTTGCAACTTTTATGATATCTCGTGCAGGTTTCTACTCGAACAAAAATACCCGGTACGATTCGCGCATGGGTTGATAAATAAAAACAGAAGATGGTAAGAGTGGCAACGGAATTCAAGAGTCTGCAACGTGTCTCCCGCGCATCTATTTCTCATTTTTGCATATTTCGTGCATGCGGTGCGTCAGAGGGAAAAAAAGCTGCCGACTGCATCTTTTTTTCGGCTGCACCGACTGCTGGCGATTCGTCACGCGTGCATAGTCATCATTTTGCCAGAACGAAGATGTATGTTGGTCACGTTCTTGGGTTTCGGAAACCTGAAACCTTTTCCTGCTATGTATTCAATGAGAGTAAGCTTCGTGAAATTGGTTATTGTTAAAATAGGCTCTTCAAAGGAATCTTTACTAGACGTCGAACGATGGTCAATTTATTTTCCAATTTTATTTTATTATTTAAAATTGTTGCTTACAAAAGTGCAAACACAAAATTAACTTATTAATTTACATGATATATATAAATTATTTATTAGTACAATATATAAGTTTCATTTATCAATAATTATTTTTTAAAATATAATATATCTAACAAACATTTAATGCAGCTAATAATTTTTGTTTTTAAAAATTTTTTAATGTAATGCTGGTATATATACATATAAATAATAAATAATTACAAACACAAAACACAAAGTAAAAAATACAAAAAGATTAAAACAATAAACTGTATATCCAGCGTTTATATATCAATAGTTGATTTTAAATTCGATAAAACAGATAAAATAGATAAAATTATCTCATAATGATATATGTAATTTTTCTCGTTGAATATGCAACGAGGAACATTCAATATGCTTATTTGTTGAATAGCGTTTGCTTATTTGTAGGCGGCATACATAAATGCGATGAAAAAATTATTTTAAATATTAATATTCTAAAAATATAACGATGTTTTAAATTCGCGAGGAAATGTATACATTTTTTCACATTTATATTGAACGAAAAATTTCAGTTTTTAGTGAATAACCTACCTGCATAAAAAAATGTGCGCAAATAATACAAATATTTGCAATATAAAAGTGAGAAAATATCGGAGATAATAAACAAACTTGTTATTTCCTTTTCTATCTTTCTTGCTATTTTCATATCAAACCATCCATCTACATTGACAAATAAGTTTTCTAACACTTTTCTGGATTTAGTACGCGAACAAAAGTAAAATAGCATATTGATTGCACGAAAGAGAGTTATTTCGACTTGAAAATGTGATATGAATAGCGTATACCATCAGTTTCGTGACAATACAATCTCAAAAAAATAACTTAAAAAAAAAAAAAATAAAAAAAGGTGCCAAGTGCACGCGCCAGCTCTGAAAAATTGTTTTCAAAATAGTGTTATTTTAATCCGAACTCATGTAGACTCGTACTACAAACAAGTAATATACAATAACGGTCTTAAACATGTAATCGTTATGTAAGATAAAAATGATTGCTTATTAAATACGAACTAAAATTTATTACATACAATTGATTACATTAATTTTTATTAAAATAGTAAATGTAACCATTTTTTATTTAATAATTGTAAAGAAAGAAGGGCTATAAGAGCTATTAAAAATATATTAAATATAGGTATTGAAATAAATAATACACAAGTTTAAAATGCGACAATTACATAAATTAAAGTGTATCATTTAAAATGTATTATTAAAAAATATTAATAATTATTATGATTTTTATACTGTATGTAGACTAAATCATACAAATAATGGTAGCTAACAAGTAAAAATAATTTATTATGCATATATTAAATATTCAGAGATCAATAGGATTTGCTCTTTATGCTTCACAGCTTTCATCAAGACAGCAGCTCATAAATGCCAAAGATGTGTATGCGCGTGTTTCTTTACATAAATGTTATTTAGATACAAAGCATTTGATCACAAAAGCAAGGAAAGTTAGCAATAACTGTCATATCATCAATAAGTCGCATCGCCATGTGATATGTGACGCTTTTTGAATAAGAAAAGAACTCTTTTAAGACGAGATTTTTTTTTGAAAAGAAAAAAAGAATCTTCAGAAAGTGAAGAGAGAAATGCTTATAGTCGCTGAAAATGTTTTGATATACAAGGCATTAAAAATTTATATGTGAAACTTTTAAAATTATAGGCTCAAAATTCAAGTTCTCATCATAAAAATTGAAAGAATCCTCATCTCATATAAAGTATTAAAAATAAAAAAGAAACGAAAATTAATCCTTATAGCTGTTACTAGATCATATAATTTTATTTTTAATTCAATTATAAAGATATTTAATAAAAAAATTTTTTAAATATGTGGTAAAAAGAAATCTATTAAAACATGTATTAAAAGAAACTGATATTAAATTGATGAAAAATTTTGATAAAATATCTTATATAATTTTTTAACATTTTAGCTTTTTCTGTAATTATATATAAATTGGTTATATTATGAATCAATAAAGTTTTTACGGTACTTACGTTTAAAAGAAATGTAATATCTTCTTGTTTTAAATGGGCTCGTTTTGTGTAATATAATTCTGTATATACTACAATATAATTACATTTTCGTTTACACAGACTTTATTTGCTCAATAGTCTTTTTTTATAATTTAATTTTCAATTTTATTTGATGCTTTTTAATAATAATAA